GATCTTAGCTCACTGCAACCTCTGCCTGCTGGGTTCAAGCAGTTCTGTCTCAGCCTCCTGAGTAGCTGGGATTATAGGCAGGCACCACCACGCCCAGCTAATTTTGTATTTTTAGTAGAGACGGGGTTTCTCCATGTTGGTCAGGCTGGTCTTGAACTCCCAACCTCAGGTGATCCGCCCGCCTCGGATTCCTAAAGTGCTGGGATTACAGGTGTGAACCACTGTGCCTGACCGAAAAAAGTAGATTCTTTCACCCATAAGGCAGAACAGCTAGGTTATCATACTGGCACAATTCATTCCTTCCCCAAGTCATCAATCAAATACCTATTTATACTGGCTGTGTAGCATCCTTAGGAGAACTGAGGAAGTTGTCAGTCAAGAAACTTTCTGAGCACTTAATTCTCTTGCTCTATTCACTTTAGAGTACTCAGAGGCCTGGTGGGTACCTGGGCCTCCTCACCAGAGGGAGGGTACACGTTTCTGCTGCAAGCAGGATTCTGCCAAGAACAGAATCAGTGATAGGATATACAGAAAAAGGGTGCCTTCTCAGGGTCTGGAGTGGTTAGGTCAGCCTCAGCGGGGCAGCATAGAGAAAAACAGGCATGAAGTGTAAGGACATGCTTTTACGTACAGTCACTTCAGCTTCCATTATCAATTGACATAATACAAAGAAAAAATTAAGGACATTACTTAAAGTCAAATTTTAGAAGACCCATCCCACATCATCCTCTTCTTCTCCTTCATTTTTTTCCAATCCTCCAAGACATCTGAACCCACATCTTCTGGCATTTCAACATGTACCATTTAAAAGACTTCTCTGACTAGCAGGGCAGTGGAAGAGACAAAGCTGCTCTCCGTCTCTTGGTAAGTCCATCTCTAAAGAGAGAACTGCTGTCTTCACCTTCTTTTCACTGATGGCAAGATGCAATTAAAATCATTATTTATTTACTGAGCATCTGCTATATGCTAGATAAAGAAGAAGATAAGGTCTACTGGGATTTAGTGGAAACACCAGAGTTGTTCAAAGAAAAACTAGGCAAATACAGGTTGGCATAATAAGCTTGTTAGAAAAGAGGCTGAGACTGCAACTCACAAACCTCTTTATTTCCTGTTGCTGAATGCTGTTCCATGTGCCTTCTTCTAAGAGAACAAGCAATTCTTCTGTGGTTGCCTTTTCACCATCAGCTAGTTTAGATAGTTTTTCGGCTGTAAGAAATATAAACAACAAAATACGGTCAAGAGAAAAAGTCAAAACCTGAGCAATTGTGTTTGAATAGTGTGGCTCAGGGCCATTTCAGAACCCAATTAAAGTGCCCAAGAAAGTGAGATAAAGAACACACACTCTGCAGGAAAAGGGTAAAATCAAGAAGATAGCCATTTTCTCCCCAAGCACTCAAAAATCAATGCCTTAGACCTAGTCACACCTTCTCTAAACAAAGCAGGCCAAATAAAAAAAGGTGCTGTACCTACAGACTCTCTGATAAAGCTGTACTGAGCATCTTCATTTCTGCACTTGTATCTCAAAATTATATTGGCCACTTTCATATCAACTCTGAGTTTGAGGCTGTCAAGGCCAAGCAATTCTAAGAAACAAACACATGCAGCTCCTACTGAAGGTATGTGGAAGGAGGAGAGCCCTATAACGTAGGCTTCATTGCCTACTTGCTGGATCCTGAAAAAGAAAGGAATCAAAATCACATCAGCACATGAAAATTATTTCTCACCAGGAAAAGCAAATGGAATTAAATCAGTGACACATGGAGTGCCAGCCATGTGATTTCTGGCCTCCTCTCCCTTCCCTTTTGCCCCTTGCACGTACCCGTTTAGGTTCCTGGTAGCTTTTCAGTTGCTTTTGGCACAAGAGCCCCCCATTCCCTTAAGTTGACTTTCTAAAACACTTACTCATAGTCTAAATTATTCTTGCTTCCAACTTCATCCAGAAGACATGAAGTACAACTTCTGAAAGACTGCCAACTTGTGATTTTATCAATTATGAGTATGTATACGAACTACGAAGAATATCAATGCCACTTAAAGTTTGACATCATAAAGCACATTTAAAAAAACTCAGATAGGCCTTTTATAGGAATAGAAAATTTGAGAAAGACATAATAAATTACTATTTATTTTTATTATTATTATTTTTGAGATGGAGTCTCGTTCTGTTGCCCAGACTGGAGTGCAGTGGCGTGCTCTCGGCTCACTTCAACCTCCGCTTCCCGGGTTCAAGCGATTCTCCTGCCTCAGTCTCCCGAGTAGCTGGGACTACAGGCGCCCACCACCATGCCTGGCTAAGTTTTGTATTTTTAGTAGAGATGGGGTTTCACCATATTGGCCAGGCTGGTCTCAAATTGCTGACCTTGTGATCTGTCCACCTCAGCCTCCCAAAGTGCTGGGATTACAGGTGTGAGCCACCATGCTCAGCCCACACAAGACATTATTAACCATGTTTTTAATATGTGGAATGGGAGGCTGAGGGATATCTTTCATTTTCACCTTTCTAAACTACTTGAATACTTTACCATAAAAAAGGTATTACTTTGTTAATTATAAAACAAACCAATAAAGTAAATCTATATTTAGCTATTCATTATAGTAAATGCTCCTCTCAATTCTGTGCTTTATAAAAATGAATTAAATGAATTATTAAAGACATTAAATATAGAATTCACATCTCATCATATAATTCCTTTTCTTAAGTTCTGGGGTACATGTGCAGAACATACAGGTTACATAGTATACATTTGTCATGGCAGTTTGCTGCACCTATCAACCTGTCATCTAGGTTTTAATCCCCGCATGCATTAGGTATTTGTCCTAATGCTCTCCCTCCCTTAGAATTCCCTCTCTAACCACTAATACCTGACAAGCTCCTATATGATTTTAAATCTGATTATTTTTCAAAATATATTTATCTTTTTTCCAGTTAACAAAAATCACACACACTGAATGCCAGAAACTTGGGACACACAGGGAAGCACAAATGAAAACAATAATCACCATCCAAATGTATTCATTGTTAAATGTGGTATGTTTCCAGTATGTTTTTCAATGTATGTGTAAAATGTTACAGATATGCCCTTTTTTAGAATACAAATTATAATTTATTTTACTTTTCTTTTAGTGGCAGAGCCTGTTACCCAGGCTAAAGTGCAGTGGTATGACCATAGCTCACTGCCTACTTGAACTCCTGGGCTCAGGTGATACTCCTGCTTCCCAAAGAGCTGGGATTACAGGGGTGAACCACTGTACCCAGCCAAAATTATATTTTAAATACTCACAGTTGCTTGGGAGTCTTGCTTTTGATTAATTCCTGGACCAGAAAAGTACCAAATGCAAATGATGGCCGTCCATGATGTAAATAATAAGCAAAATTCAGACGTTCCACTACAGCGTATTTATTAACCAGGTCAGGGCTAGAGAAATGTGGGAGATGACTCCATGCATCTGGGAGGAAAGTGAAACAATATCAATTATCTGTACGTCACCATAATTAATTTCAGATTTGCACATGGAAAACTTAACTCTCTAATGATAAAAGAAAACTGGTTGCTGTAATCATTTTGCATCACTATGTATCACTTTGAACTTATCAAAACCTGTTTTATTTTACTTCAACATATAGAGATAGCCTTCATTTTATACAAAGATGTGTATCTGAGAAGTTGCATAAAAACTATGGTAAGAAATAATGCTCTGGCTGAGTGCGGTGGCTCACGCCTGTAATCCCAGCACTTTGGGAGGCCAAGGCAGGAGGATGACCTGAGGTCAAGAGTTCGAGACCAGCCTGACCAACATGGAGAAACCCCATCTCTACTAAAAATACAAAATTAGCCAGGTGTGGTGGCGCATGCCTGTAATCCCAGCTACTTGAGAGGCTGAGGCAGGAGAATAGCTTGAATCTGGGAGGCAGAAGTTGTGGTGAGCTGAGATTGTGCCTTTGCACTCCAGCCTGGGCAAGAGCGAAACTCTGCCTCCAAAAAAAAAAAAAAAAAAATGCTCCCTCCTACCATCCCATTAAACTTACTTGTAATTTTAGTTGCTTTTTTTTCTGTTGAGAGACTCTTTTAGGATCTACAATCAGCACTCTAGAGCTGATTGTCTCTAAACGCCTGAGTACTTTGAAATCTTCTCTCCTCTCTGGGCTTTTATGATCTCCTAAGTAAAATAAGCAAATTGGGCTAGATTATCTTGGAAGGCTATGCCAGCGGGAGTGCTCCATGACATTTTGTTAATGGAATCTTCCTCCTGTGAGGGCTGCGGTCATTGAACTACAGCTTTGGCAGAGACCTGGGAGGGTCTGGCTGCCAGTGGAGCAAGGCTCAGTGATTACTTGGGGTGGAGAGGGATGTCTTCTCTCCGTTTGGGTCTTCCTGGCCACAGCTCATTACATCTGTTATTATAGATACTAATATATAACTGCGGGGGGAATTCCCAGTATCTATAACATCCCTATATCTATATCCCAGTATCTGTAACACATCCCTAAACCAATGGAGGAACACGTGCTGGGGACATAAGAAAGCAGACCCAGAAGTGACTCCTTAGAGGGCAATGTGCATGCTCATTTTGGGACAACTGTCAGAGAGCTAAAGCCATTCTGGTTGAATGTGTAAAACTGATATAAAAAAATAACTTTAGAAGCTGTCCCAACTGATTTCATTTAAGGATATTGTTTACAGGGGTGGAAGGAAGCTCTAGTCTGGCAGGTCTAGTATCTCAGAGGTAATAGGGCTTTAGAGTCATAAATGTGTTTGAGGCCGAGCGTGGTGGCTCACTCCTGTAATCCCAGCACTTTGGGAGGCTGAGATGGATCAACTGAGGTCGGGAGTTCGATATCAGCCTGACCAACGTGGAGAAACCCCATCACTATTAAAAATACAAAATTAGCCAGACATGGTGGTGCATGCCTGTAGTCCCAGCTACTCAGGAGACTGAGGCAGGAGAATCACTTGAACCTGGGAGGTGGAGGTTGCAGTCAGCTAAGATCGCACTATTGCACTCCAGCCTGGGCAACAAGAGTAAAACTCCGTCTCCAAAAAAAAAAAAAAAAGTGTGTGATTCCTGGTTTTGATACCACTAGTTGCGTGACCTTGAGCAACTTATTTAACTTTTAAGAATTGTATATATTTAAAGTATACAACATAAATGGTTTCTTTTGGGTCTTTTTTTTGGGGACAGGGTCTGGCTCTGTCGCCTAGACTGGAGTGCAGTGGCACAATCTTGGCTCACTGCAACCTCTGCCTCCTGGGCTCAGGTGATCCTCCCACTTCAGCCTCCCAAGTAGCTGGGACCACAGGTGCACTCCACCACACCCAGCTTTCTTTAGTATTTTTGGTAGAGATGAGGTCTCAAAATCCTGAGCTCAAGCAATCTGCCTGCCTTGGCCTCCCAGAGTGCTGGGATTACATGTGTGCACCCAGCCTCTTCTTTTCTTTTCTTTTTTTTTTTTTTTTTAAGATAGAGTCTTGCTCTGCTATCCAGGCTGGACTGCCATGGCACAATCTTGGCTCACTGCAACCTCCGCCTCCTGGGTTCAAGCGATTCTCCTGCCTTAGCGTCCTGAGTAGCTGGGACTTACAGGCATGTGCCACCACACCTAATTTTTGTACTCATAGTAGAGACAGGGTTTCGCCATATTGGCCAGACTGGTCTCGAACTCCTGACCTCAGGTGATCTGCCCACCTCGGTCTCCCAAAGTGCTGGGATTACAGGCATGAGCGTGAGCCACCGTGTCCGGACAGCCACCGCACCCAGCCCACCTAGCCTCTTTCACCAATGTTTGATGGTTTAACATGTACAGATCTTTGACCTCTTTGATTAAATTTATTCCTAAGTATTTTGTGTTCTATTAAAAAACAGAAATGGGATAGTTTTGTTCATTATCTTTTTCAGATAGTTTGCTATTGATATATAGAACACTACTGATTTTTGTATGTTGATTTAATATCCTACAACTTTCCTGAATTTGTTTATTAGTTCTAACAGTTTTACTGGTAGAGTCTTTAGGATTTTCTATATGCAAAATCATGCCATCTGCAAAATGAAAACTTCACTTCCTCCTTTCTGATTTGGATGCCTTTCATTTTTTTTTTTTTGCTTAAATGCTCTGGTTAGGACTTCAAGTACTATGTTGAACAGAAGTGGCAAGGGTGGGCATCCCTGTCTTGTTTCTGATCTTAGAGGAAAAGCTTTCAACTTTTCACTGCTGAGTATGATAATAGCTGTGGGCCTGTCATATATGGCCTTTATAATGTTGAGATGCATTCTTTCTATGCCTAATTTGTTGAGAGTTTTTATTATGAAAGGATGTTGAATTTTGCAAAATGCCTTTTCTGTATCTATTGATATGATCATATGGTTTTTGTCTTTTTTTTTTTTTTTTTTTTTTTGAGATGGAGTCTCGCTCTGTCGCCACTCACGGCTGGAGTGCAGTGGCGTGATCTTGGCTCACTGCAAGTTCCGCCTCCCAGGTTCACGCCATTCTCCTGCCTCAGCCTCCCAAGTAGCTGGGACTACAGGCATCCGCCACCATGCCCAGCTAATATTTTTTGTACTTTTTAGTAGAGACAGGGTTTCCCACCGTGTTAGCCGGGATGGTCTCGATCTCCTGACCTCATGATCCACTCGCCTCGGCCTCCCAAAGTGTTGGGATTACAGGCGTGAGCCATTGCGCTTGGCCTGGTTTTTGTCTTGCATTCTGTTAATGTGGTGTATAATTTATTAATTTGTGTATGTTGAACCACCCTGGTTTTAATTCTGTATTTGATGATCCTTTAAGTTCAGAAAGGCAATAGCCAATAACCCTATCATTATAAAATCTGTTAAATATATGCAAAAGGAGCTTTTTAAATTCATTCACAAAGGTCATTATGCAATAAAATCCCTTTTAACATATTTATATGAGTCCTCTGTTCACCAAAGCCAATTCACTGCACCTTTCTCCAACAGGTAATTTTTTTTTTTTTTTTTTTTTTTGGACACAGGGTCTTGCTCTGTTGCCCAGGCTGGAGTGCAGTGGCATGACCAAAATTCCCTGCAGCCTTGACTTCCTTAACTCAAGCAATCCTCTTGCCTCAGCCTTCTGTAGGACTGTAGGCACACACAACCATGCCTGGCTAATTTTTAAATTTTTCTTTCACCTTCTTGACCCTTATCTTCTATACCTGGCTAATTTTTTGTAGAGACAGTGTCTTGCTATGTTGTCCAAGCTGGTCTTAAATTCCTGGCCTCAAGCAATCCTTCCACCTCAGCTTCCTAAGTGTTAGGATTACAGGCATGAGCCGCTACACCTGGCCTCCAACAGGTAATTTTAGAACGTTTTTCCCTCGACACTAATTACCCTTCTATAACCTCCATTTGTTATCACCTACTTTCTGATGTTGTATTCATAGAGCATGAATATCTTAGAAAGATGACACCATCTTTCTATTAATAAGACCAACAGAATAGCTCAGATTAAAGTTCCTCTAAACCCAAGAAAATATCAGAACAAAAATGTCTCTTTTTAGATAAATCTGAAGTCAGAAGATATTTTGATGTGAGTCTAGTCATCTCTTGGTATCCATGGGATTGGTTCCTGAAACTCTTGGATACCAAAACCCACAGAAGGATGCTCAAGTCCCTGTAAAATAGCATAGTATTTATATATAGCCTATGCACATTTCCCCATACACTTTAAATTACTCTAGATCATTTATAATACCTAATAAATGTAAATGCTATGTAAATAGTTGTTATACTGTATTTTTAAATTGTTTTTTTTTATTGTTCTATTTTTTTTTAATTGTTTGTTTATTCTCTCAAATATTTCCCATCTGAGGTTAGCTGAATCCATGGATATGGAACCCAAGGATCTGGAGGGCTGACTCCAGTTAGAAAGAAATAATCACTCCTGTCATGTACTATTCAATTGTCTCTTAACCACTTACTACCTATTTTTAAAAAAAGACAACACAGTGATCTGGTTCCAGAAACTAGTTCTGGAAAACAGTGTATCTGCTCTTGTTTTCAAAGTTCAAAGCTTATTTCTGAAATAAAGTTGTATTTTCTCATGGAATTCCAAGGACTTTCCACATTGTGACCTGATTCCTAAAAAAAAAAAGGCTTAAAGACCCTCGAGGTATCTGTCATCTTACAAAGGTTTTACCTGAAAGTACATTCCCTCTTTGAGATTAAAAAAACTGTCACATGCCCTATTTGCATTCTTGTGAGAACAGAGCGACTTTGGCAACTTGTAATTACATATAAAGCCATTCATTAAATATGTGCTGAGTGTGTGTAAGGCACACAGTACTGAAATGAGCACATTTGAGTTTTCTATTCAGATAAGACCATAATTTTTTAGCAGGTTGGGGCTTAGTATGGAGATTGTATATAACAGAAAATTCAATCTAAAGGGAAATTTTACTCTGGCCTGGTGCAGAAGCCAAGTCACCACCCAGTGTTACTACATCCACATTCAGTGGTAAAACCATAAGAAAACAGAAGTAAACATTCAAATTAAATACAGTTTTCCAATTTTATAAAAATGTATTGGCTGGGCACGGTGGCTCACGCCTGTAATCCCAGCACTTTGGGAGGCCGAGGCGGGTGGATCACAAAGTCGGCAGATCGAGACCATCCTGGCTGACACGGTGAAACCCCATCTCTACTAAAAATACAAAAAAATTAGCTGGGCGTGGTGGCAGGTGCCTGTAATCCCAGTTATTCAGGAGGCTGAGGCAGGAGAATGGCATGAACCCGGGAAGCACAGCTTGCAGTGAGCTGAGATTGCGCCACGGCACTCCAGTCTGAGTGGAACGAGACTCCATCTCAAAAAAAAAAAAAAAGGATTATATTTTCAAGATAACAGTTTCATTTACTTTGTGATTTCCTCAAGTATGTTTTAAACTTCTAAAAATGGCAGGGAACATGCTTTCAACTTCTCTGTGCCTCTACTCTACCTGGTAGAGTGCTCAATTTCCAAGAGTTAGAATGCCAGGTCAAGATGTCACCTAAGTGATGGAGTTGGAGCCATCACAACAGGAGAGGGGATTCTGTCTACTCTCTAGTAACTTCACTGAGAAAGGGTACTTTTTTTTTTTTTTTTTTTTGAGACGGAGTCTCTCTCTGTCACCCAGGCTGGAGTGCAGTGGCCGGATTTCAGTTCACTGCAAGCTCCACCTCCCGGGTTTACGCCATTCTCCTGCCTCAGCCTCCCGAGTAGCTGGGACTACAGGCGCCCGCCACCGAGCCCGGCTAGTTTTTTTTTGTATTTTTAGTAGAGACGGGGTTTCACCGTGTTAGCCAGGATGGTCTCGATCTCCTGACCTCGTGATCCGCCCGTCTCGGCCTCCCAAAGTGCTGGGATTACAGGCTTGAGCCACCGCGCCCGGCCGAGAAAGGGTATTTCTATTCGATAAATGCAATAAGCACTACTTTTTTCAGCACTCAACAAACATTTACTGAACATCTATTGTAGGCCTGGCATACACTGGACTCTGGGCATGAGGTAAATTCTATATATCAAAATTTGAACTTATAAAACATATACATTAAGAAATTCATTTTTATTTATGTCAACAGATATTTATTGGGTACATACTATGTACAAAGTACTAATGCAAAGCCTAATTTAGGGTAATATAGGCAGAGGCACCACAGATAACATGATGTTAAAGATAAAAGAGAAATAGAAAAAACAGTTTGTTTAAGAACAGAAAAAAATAAATCAGAGAAAGTCTTATGGTATTTATAGGACAGCAATGTGTGTGAATCTGGTACTTAAATGCCTTGCCTCCTTTTATTCTCATAGTAATGTGTTAGGTGGTCACTGTGATTAACCTCATTTCATAGAGAACTAAAGAGGTTAGATCACATGACCAAGGTCACACAGGTATTAATTACATGGTAGGGCCAAGATTTGTTTAATGCTGACACCTATGCTTTTAATTTTTATGATACTATACTGGAAATGAAGAATAATTTTTTGAAAGGAAGAAATATAATCAAATAGTTACACATTACCTTTTTCAGCAAGTACAGCACTAGTAACCTAATACATTGACTTCTAACTCACAATATGTTTTCAATTCTGTCTTCTGCGAACTATTTTTCCTTTGGAATACACCTTTACTTTTAAAATAAAAAGCAATGAGAAAACTAGATTGGCTTTACATATATTAACTTCTATAGTTAACATTGCTAAAACATGTCTCAAGAAGTACCCATGACTTACCTCCTATAGCTAGTGTGTTAGCAGACTGCCAGCCAAACAATCTGCTAGGATCAAAGGGTGATAATGACTGAAAAAGGGGAAAAGTTAAACAGAATTAGAAATTCATGGATTCTAAAACAGGTAAACAAAATTATATGAAAGGACTTCAGAGGTAGTCTGCTTCCCCTTTTCCAAGGCAATTTAAAGCTTATCATTCTGGACATAAATTCTTTGAACACAGCCAGAGTACAATGGTGCAACCTCAGCTCACTGCAACCTCCGCCTCCTGGGTTCTACCAATTCTCCTGCCTCAGCCTCCCAAGTAGCTGGGACTATAGGCACGTGCCACCATGCCTGCCTAATTGTTGTATTTTTAGTAGAGATGGGGTTTCACTATGTTGGCTAGGCTGCTCTCGAACTCCTGACCTCAGGTGATCCGCCCAACTTGGCCTCCCAAAGTGTTGGGACTACAGACATGAGCCACCGCACCCGGCTCCTTTATAGAATTATAAACCTTATGCTATAAACCTTATAGATACTAGGAGAATATGTGTATTCAGGGAAAAAAGGAAAAACCTTTTGAAATGAGAAATAGGCAAAGCAAGGTGTTCTTAACCGAGGGTCCCTGACTAGGCTTCAGGGAGTCTGTGAATCACTTTGAAATGTAAGCAAAATTATATGCATATGTGTAATTTTTCTGGGTAGAGGGTTTGTAGCTTTCTTACATTCTTAGAGGTTCTGAAAAAGATTAAAAAGCATTGATTTAAACAAACATCCCTGATTCATTGAGAAGAGATAGTTAGAAGTTACAAGTGGCAGAATAGAGTGCTTTTGATGAAAGCAGCAGATAGGTATGTTGGTCAACTGTTTGCTCTGACCCACCTCCACCCTTCCCACTCTGCTCAGCATTGCAGGAAACTACATTTCCCAAGCTCCTTTGCCCTTTGGCTACCAGATAAATATAGCCACAAAGACACTGTGGGAGACTAAAGATGGGAAGAGAGAAGTCAAGATATTCCTCCCCTGCATTTTCCTGGGGCATCTACCTCCATACTCTATGTTCCCACTTCCCATTAGGCAGTCTGGTTGTTAGTTTAATTCCCAGAAATGGCTCCAGCTTCTGGGTTCTGGTAACACCACTTTTTTGCATTGTTCTTGCAGCCTTAGGGGTGCAAGAACATGGCTTCCTATTTTGTTATCTGGGGTTGTCTCACTATCGCGTTTGGTTTCTCCATTCTGCTATGATGCTGTGTAAGTAATTCCCTACGTTAAATGCCCTCTAGTTGAAAGATCTAGAGTGATTTCTGTTTTCCTGGCTGAATATTTAGGTCTATCAGACCTAAATATTGACCACCTAAATACTGTACCTGAATAAGGTGGTAGAGTGTAATATCAGATGGCAGGACACTAGGAGGAGTGCACTGTGGGAAGAGAGCAGTTTTTAGCTTGGGGTAAGGAGTTAATGCCATCTTCAAAAGCTGGGGATCCACTTTCTTCAAACAGTTTTCATTTTCTTCATTCTGAACAACCTAAGTAAAAAGATAACAGGTTGGAGAGCAGCATTTTTCTCTTCTCAAAGTTTAAGTCTTTTTTTCACAAGAACCCTGTGAAACAAGATTAGCTTGAGAAGAGTATGTGGTAGTGAATATGGCATTAGACAAGTAGTCATAAGTTAACAGTTCTTGTTCTGGTCCTGAAACAAACTGGCTATGTGACCTTAGCTAGATATTTAATATCAGGTCTTTGTTTCCCCAGCTGCAAAATTAGGAAGTTCAGCTAGATCAGTGGTTTTCAAGCTGTATAGAGATTGTTTGAAAAACCGCTCTGCCAATATTTAATTCAATAATATATATTTTAAAATATTTACAAACTACTAAACTAGATGACTTCTCACTCAACTCTAAAGTTATCCTATGACTCTAATTTCTGATAGGTGATTAAAAATAGACAATTAAATAGTCGTGTAAGGTATACTGCAACAATCTAAAAAAGGTGGTATTAAGTTAAGCTAGCACCAGTAAGAAACTTTTGAAGATTCGATATTAAACAACATTCTTAATTTCCCTCTAAACAGGCCACTCTACTTCTAAAAAGCAAAGATGGGCACATTTCCATTAGGTCCCTCAATAAAGTTTATATGGGTAGCTGAAGATTATGGTTTCCTTTGACCTAAGAGGGCAAATAGTACAGAATAATTACCAAGCCACAGATCTAAAGTATTGTTACTCCCAGAAGCAAGCAGATCCTAATTGTATTCTGAAAACAAATCTGGAGTATTGGAAAACAAACTAAAGGGAAAAAAGAATCTCTACATAACATATTCATTCCCCTCCCCACCCCCACCCAGCTTTTTTTTTTTTTGAGACAGGGTCTCACTTTGTCACCCAGGCTGAAGTGCAGTGGTATGATCTTGGCTCGCTGCAGCCTCGACTTCCCAGGCTCAAGCAATCCTCCTGCCTCAGTCACCCAAGTAGCTGGGACTATAGGAGCATGCCACCATGCCAAGCTAATTTTTTTTTTTTTTTGGAGATGGAGTCTTGCTCTGTTGCCCAGGCTGGAGTGCACTGGCACAATCTCAGCTTACTGCAACCTCTGTCCCCTGGGTTCAAGCAATTCTCCTGCCTCAGCCTCCTGAGTAGCTGGGATTACAGGCATACGCTACCATGACCGGCTAATTTTTGTATTTTTAGTAGAGATGGCATTTCAGCACGTTGGCCAGGCTGGTCTTGAACTCCCGACCTCAAGTGATCCACCCGCCTCGGCCTCCCAAAGTGCTGGGATTACAGGCGTGAGCCACCGTGGCCGGTCATGCCCAGTTAATTAAAACAAATTTTTTTTGTAGAGACGGAGGTTTCGTCATGTTTCTGGTCTCAAACTCTTGTATGCAAGCGATCCATCTACCCTGGCCTTCCAAAGGGCTGGGATTACAAAAATGAGCCAATGCGCCTGGCTTCATTCCCTTTAAATTGTAGATGTCAAAAATTTCTTTCCTTTTTTTTTTTTTTTTTGAGATGGAGTCCCGCTCTGTTGCCCAGGCTGGAATGCAGTGGCGCAGTCCTGGCTCACTGCAACCTCCGCTTCTCAGGTTCAAGTGATTCTCATGCTTCAGCCTCCCAAGTAGCTGGGATTACAGGCATGTGCCAAGATGCCCAGTTAAGTTTTTTCTATTTTTAGTAGAGACAGTGTTTCACCATGTTAGCCAGGCTGGTCTCAAACTCCTGACCTCAAGTGATCTGCTCGCCTCGACCTCCCAAAATGCAGGGATTACAGGAGTGAGCCACTGCACCGGGCTGAGATATAAAATCTTAAAATTCAGCCTTGTCCTCTGCTCTTTAATCTAATGAAATACTTGAATATAGTTATATTTTAATATCAACTGAGATCTAGACAATCCATAGATAATTCTGCTAAATTTAAAAATCAGTCCCATTTTGTTGTAAAGTGCTATCCATACCTGGCTGACACCTCCAGGAGAATACATTGTAGTAGCAAGGGCCAGGAGGGTATGTCCTTCCAATAGCATACTGCTTACACTGGCCTGATTGGTGGGAATCAAAATCTGAGCATTTGCGAGGCTAGCCTGGAAGATCAGTTTGGGATCTGGAAAATAAAAGACAGAGGGATAAATACTAAATTAAGAATTACATAAATGTGAGAAAAATAATATAAATTTTTAACTCTATCCACAGTGAAGAAAAAAAAAAAGGACTTCCTAAGTGTAAAAGCAATGGGAAAACATCACAGAGGGGAAAAATAAAGATTTGTCTACACAAAAATAAAAACTTCTATTCAAAGACAATTAAAAGGTAACAATGGGCCGGGCGCGGTGGCTCAAGCCTGTAATCCCAGCACTTTGGGAGGCCGAGACAGGCGGATCACGAGGTCAGGAGATCGAGACCATCCTGGCTAATACGGTGAAACCCCGTCTCTACTAAAAATACAAAAAACTAGCCGGGCGAGGTGGTGGACGCCTGTAGTCCCAGCTACTCGGGAGGCTGAGGCAGGAGAATGCCGTAAACCCGGGAGGCGGAGCTTGCAGTGAGCTGAGATCCAGCCACTGCACTCCAGCCTGGCCGATAGAGCGAGACTCCGTCTCAAAAAAAAAAAAAAAAAAAAAGGTAACAATGAACTGAGAGAAAAATTATAACAAATGACAACCTAAAGAGTTGCTGAGTTTGTCCTCAACAAAGAGCTCATCCAAATCAATGCCAAAAATACTGACTCTAACAGGTAAATGGGCAAAAGAAATAACCAATTTATGAAGGAGGAAATATAAATGCCTGACACATAAAAGTACATAATTCACTAGCAACAAAGAAATGCAAATTAATTAGATGCCATATACTACCTATCAAATTAGCAATAATTTAAAAAAAATCATCAAGCATTAGAGCTGGTCACAGTGAGTAGAGACTGGGACTTACAATAAAATCATAAAACTGTACAACTCCCTTGGAAAGCAATCCGGTCCTACAGCAAGAACCTTAAAAACATGTATAACCTTTGACCCAATAGTTTTATATCCCAAAACCTATCTGTACTAAGAAAATAATCTGAAATAAGGACAAAACTTTACATTGAAATATGTTCAAGACTATTATTTATAATAAATGGAAAATGGCCTCATCAGAAAATGAGAGAACAGTAAATTAAATAAGGGTATATCCATACAATGAAATATTATGTAAACATTTAAAATGGTCATTGTCTTTAAGAATGTGGGAAAATTCTGTTATAATATTACACAAAAAAGCAGTATATAAAAACACAGATGTTTCTTGTTGTACAATATTCTGTCACAAGGTAGGAGCTCAATAAATATTTGTTAGGTGAATGAAATACAATAGAGACTAGGTTTTTAAAAAGTACAGTGAAAATAACTGGAACAAAATACATTAAAATATTATCAGTGGTTACCTACGGGTGGTTATTTTCCTATGTACCAAGGCTACCCATGGAGGTATTACTTTTTAATTAATTAATTAATTAAAATATTATCAGTGGTTACCTACGGGTGGTTATTTTCCTATGTACCAAGGCTACCCATGGAGGTATTACTTTTTAATTAATTAATTAATTATTTTTTAAAGAGAGACAGGGTCTTGCTCTGTCAACCAGGCTAGAGTGCAGTGACACAATCATGGCTCACTGCATCCTCTAACCCCAGGGCTCAAGTGATCCTCCCATCTCAGCCTCCCACATTGCTGGGATTACAGGAGCATGCCACCACACCTAATTTTTAAAAATCTTTTGTAGAGACAGGGTCTTACTATGTTGCCCAGGCTGGTCTTGAACTCCTATCCTCAAGTGATCCTTCCACTTTGCTTCCCAAAGCACTGGGATTACAGGTGTGAGCCATCACACCTGGCCAGTATTACCTTCTTGATAGCTGTCTGTGGTTTCTAATTTTTTTTTAAGCAATGAACATATATTACTTCATAATCAGCATGCAAAACCAGAAAACAAAACCCACATTATGAAAAATTCTGCATTTCGAGAGAAACTGGACATTATATGTAACTGAAAGACTGCTGACATTCCTTGTCTGTGGTCATTCAGCCTGTCCCCTTTTCCCTGTTTCTGGGATAACACCAGCTAAGTCCTCAGGGGTAACAAGGCTTTTCTGTCTGATTACAACCAGAGTAAGCCTCTACATCAGCAGCTCCACTGCAGAGGACACAACAATCTCACACATACTATGGATTTCTTTTAACTCCATTTGGAGTTCCTTACTAAAATATTCAAAACAGGGATCTGGAAGACAGACCACTTCTTCATGGAAAAAGGGTGCCAGTTGACCAGAGAGCAGGAATTCAGCCTCTGACAAACTGGTGGGACAAGGGAAATCCTAGAGCACGATGCTAAGGGGAAGGGGACAAAACCACGTAAAGTCTTTGCTCCAGGTCTAGCTTTTCTTGGCTGGCTGGCAGCTAACCTTTTTGGCCTTCTACTTCTTACCTAAAGTGTGAGCCTAGATTACATTCAGATAGTTGACCACAGCCAAATAATTTATTTAAAAGAGTTCACAAGTTTAATACCATTCAACAGACCAGTGATTGATCCAAAGAAAGTTTCTGTGTTTAATACAGTATACCCATACCTGTTAAATTACTGGCAACTTGTCGACACTGAACTAAAAATTCAAACCAAGGGTGTGCTTCATGTAACTCTTTTTTTTCCAAAAAGGGACAATTTTCAGGACTAAGTCTGTATATAAAACAAACAAAAAACTTCTTTGGTTAACATACAGGATAAGACAATTACAACCATGTTTGCTCAGGTGATGATTAGCATTTAAAAAAAGAATCTTGGAATTAAAAAGTAAATATAACACAAAATACTCCCACTCTTGTGTTGTATTTTACATACTCTTCATGATCTGGAAACAGACAATTTCAGAGACAGAGATTTTAGAGACATCATATGTTCACTACCATGAGGAAATTTAACCAACTCTTTGTCAGATTAATAGATACCTTGTACTTTAAGATACTTCATATTTTATTGGTTTTTACAGCAAAGACTTTTTAGCATATTCAAACTTAATAAGAGGCTTTTTAAAAACTCTTACAAGCCAAGTGTGCTGGTGTGCGCCTATAGTTCCAGTTACTTGGGAGGCTGAGGTGGGGGAATTGCTTGAGCCCAGGAGTTTGAGGCTGCAATGAGCCATGATTGTGCCACTGCACTCCAGTCTGAGTGACAGAGTGAGACTGTCTCAAAATAAAATACAAATAAAAAGTTTACACAACTACAGAGAGGTTACAACTGAGGAATTATGGCTCAGAATACATACTTTGAAAATACAGCTCTTAAATCTGTTCTCTTGCTAGTAGCTTTGGAGACAACATTTCTAAGTAAGACTAATGATATGACACATCAAAAACTCCTAGTCTGTTTTTTTTTTCTTTTTTTGAGACCAGGTCTCACTGTATTGTCCAGGCTGGAGTGCAGTGGCGCAAACATGGCTCACTGCAGCCCGGACCTCCTAGGCTCAAGCAATCCTCCCACCTCAGCTTCCCAGGTAGCTGAGACTACAGGTGTGTGCCACTATGCCTGGCTGATTTTTCACTTCTTTGTAAAGAAGAAGACCCACTACATTGCCCAGGCTGGTCTTGAACTTTTGGGCTAAAGTGATTCTCCTGCCTTGGCCTCCCAAAGTGCTGGGATTACAGATGTGAGCCACTGTGCCCGGCCAATTTCTAGTCTTTACTACACAAAATAAGTAAAATAAAAATGCTGCCTATGAGTGTACAAATGTGGGCTCTGGAATAAAAATTAAGTAGAATTAAATCAGCTCTTCCACTTATTAGCTGTGTGCCTTAAGTAAGATACTTAGTCTCTCTCAAAGCCTGTTTCTTCATCTGTAAAATGGAGATTCGAGTAACTACCCCATAGAGTTTTTGTGAAGATTAAATGAGATAATGCATATAAACTACTTAGTTTAGTGATAACATTGTAAACACTCATATATTAAAGACTACTTCTATTGTTATTGTTATTACTGACCCAATAGCAATTAACACTGGGCACAGATATGATTCTGCAGGTTAATCTTAGGTAGACATATACTGATGTATTGCTCTTTCTTTCTCTGTGTGTGTGTGTCTATATAAATATAAATTTTAGAGCATATCTAATATACCTTGAAGTGAAATACACCTTGCTATGAAATCAAAGTCATTTAGCATTCTCTTGGTAAACAAAGTATCAAAGTAAACTCCAAGTGAAACTTTAGAATCTTCCTCTCAAACCTTTTAAAGCATTTCTTTCATTGTATTCTAAAGTCAAATTATTTAAAAGGTTAACAGAGATACTACAGAATTAATATCACCAAAAAAACACATAAGCATTTTGCTGAATGTAATACTGAACTCAAAGATGTATCAGTTGTTGAGATGGAGAAAACTACTTCAAAAAGATCAGTATTCCTCGTGTGAATGCTTACTATTTTCCTAAAAGTCACGTTCAGGAGTCATATGCAAAGAGAAAATGTGAAGATCTGATCAAGGACAGATGCATTCTCAGTACTCACTTGTAACAGTCAAGGTAGACATAAAGAAGATGCTGCAGACTGTGCTCCAAACAATAGAGAATGAATTGAGAATGGAAATCCCAACCTTCTTTGGTCTTGTAGTTTTGAACAGGGAGGGTATCCTGTATTACACCTCCAATACGGCTCAGTCTTAGGAGGAAGCATTCAAAGTCTTCCAGTTCAGATGCCAGAAAAATCCCATTCCTATGGACAGATTTACAGGATGGCAAGTTAAAAAGTCGCTATGTTCAGAGCAGACTAAATCACGTCCACAGTTTAAGTCTCAATTACTTAAAAATAAGCATTGACAAATTAATGCTGCCACTTCTTACTCTATATGTTCTCTGACACATATTTTGCGGATTTCCAATAAAATTTTCTGCACCACTGTAGTATTTAAAAGTAGTAATGACAGACTCAAATTATCTTTATTATTTTAAAAATCTAAATCAAGCTATTTCCATTTTTTGGTTTTTGACGGGAACCATTACCCAGTATAGCAACAGTGGTTAACCCTTGAAGCTGGATGCTCTAAGCACTGAGAAATTCACCAAAATATTCAAACAAAATCATCATGCTACATCAGAATAATTTAAATAGAACAACTACTGAACAAGAATAGAAATCTGCATGTAAATATTACTTTTTACAAAGTTACTGTTACATTATATATACCAAAGGAGTAAAGAAAACATACAACTGTATATGGAGTTTATAGAAACGTCATGGAACCACTAACCTAATTATAGAACATTATAAGCCCTTGGTGTATTCCTCCCCCACTGCATGCCCCTTGCTACCTCCGGAGGTAGCCACTATCCTGACTTTTATGATAGTCATTCCCATACTTTTTTTTTTTGTATTTTTTAGTAGTTTTTTTTTTTTTTTTTGAGACAGAGTCTCTCTCTGTCGCCCAGGCTGGAGTGCAGTGGCCGGATCTCAGCTCACTACAAGCTCCGCCTCTCCGGTTTACGCCATTCTCCTGCCTCAGCCTCCCGAGTAGCTGGGACTACAGGCGCCTGCCACCTTGCCCAGCTAGTTTTTTGTATTTTTTAGTAGTTTTTTTTTTGGGCAGGGTTTTGCTCTGTCACCCAGGCTGGAATGCAGTGGTGCCATCTCAGCTCACTGCAAGCTCCGCCTCCTGGGCTCAACTGATCCTCCTACCTCAGCCTTTGAGTATCTGGGATGACAGGTATGTGCCACCACACTCAGTTTTTAAATTTTTTTGTAGGGACGAGGTCTATGTTGTCCTGGCTGGTCTTGAACTCCTGGACTCAAGCAATCCTCCTGCATAGGCCTCCCAAAGTGTTGGGATTACAGGTGTGAGCCACTGTGGCCCTTTTATTTTTATTCACAGTTTTATTACACCTATATGTAATCCCAAATAATTTAAGATTTTGCGTATTTTGAACTTTGTATTATGTGGAACATTCTGGATATATTGTTCTCTACCTTATTTCTTCTACCCAACATTGTGTGATTTAGCCATGTTGATACCTCTGGGTATAGTTTGTTATTTTTCATTATTATACAGTATTCCATTGTATGAATATACCGTATTTATCCACTCTACCATTGAGAAAATTTAGCCATATTTATGATAAAAACTATTGGCAAACTAAGCACAGATGCAAACTCCCTTAACTTAAAAGGCATATCTAGAAAAATCTTTCTAGCCAACATCATACTTACTAGTGAAACACTGAGGTCCACTTTAGTTGTTCCTAAATTTCGGGTAAAATAAATTTGCATTTCCTTACCTACAAATGAGGAAGAGCATCTTTTCCTGTTTACTAGCCATTTGTGCTTCCTCTTTTGTGAGAAGCTATGTGCTGGTATCCTTCTCCTCAGATCCAAGCTCTACTCTGCGTCACCCTACCCTGTGTTCCTGGAGGCTCACCTCTATGGGTTCTACTACAAGACTCCAGTGTCCTCAGACTTCTGTTTTAGTTCACTCAATGGGAGGGCTCCATCAGGAGATAAGAGGAAATACCCTGGCTCTCTCTGTGCTGGGTGACTACAGCTTGGCTGACACCCTACACTAAGGATCACAACTCCTGTCAGGCAGCTCTCTTGGTCTCAGTGACAGATCTTTGCCCCTTTAGGCCTTTTAGAAAGCATATATCCTACTACTCCCAAGGTTGTGAAGGTATTCACTTATAGTATTTTCCAAATTTTATACTTTCACATTTGACATTTAGGTGTTAACATCTACCCAGAACTGATTTAACGTACAATATACGGTAGGGAGGGGAATCTAATTATATTTTTTCCCCATATAGCTATTCAGTTATTCCAGCCCCATTATCAAAAAGATGGTTCTTTCCCCACTCTTGTGCAGGACCACCTCTGTCATATGTAAAATGATCATACAGGTATAGGTCTGTTTCTACGCTCACACTTCTGATCTCTACCCCAGCACCAATACTCTCACTATCTTAACTGCTACAGCTTTAGAATAAGTTTTGATATCTGGCAGGGCAAGTTCTTTTTCAGGGCTCTTCTTGACCCTCTAATTTATTTTTGTTGTTGTTTTTTTTGAGATGGAGTCTCACTCTGTCTCCCAGGCTGGATGGAGTTCAGTGGCTTGATCTTGGCTCACTGCAACCCCCACCTTCTGAGTTCAAGTGATCCTCCTGCCTCAGCCTTCCGAGTAGCTGGGATTACAAGCAAGTGCCACCATGCCCAGCTAATTTTTGTATTTTCAGTAGAGACGAGGTTTCATTATGTTGTTCACACTGGTCTCAAACTCCTGACCTCAAGTTATCTGCCTGCCTCAGCCTCCCAAAGTGCTGGGATTACAGATGTGAGCCACCACGCCCAGCAGACCCTCTAATTTCTATATAAATATTTACAATCAGCATGTCATAACCCACACACACATACAAAAAAAAAAAAAACGGCTGGGATTTTTACTGAGATTGCACTATATTTAAAGATCAACTTGGTAGCAGGCTTGTCTTTCTCCAAATCTAAAGAGAATGCTCACAGTGTTTCACTAGTAAGTATGATGTTGGCTAAAAGGATTTTTCTAGATACCCCTTTTCAGTTAAGGGAGTTTAGGCCAGGCGCGATGGCTCACGCCTGTAAT